CTTTCCAACCCCAGCTATTCTATGATTCTATAAATTCACTTCACCATTTTAGGAAACCGGTCCTGATGGAGATAGCTGTGTGGTGTGCATTGAGCTGTACAAGCCGAATGAAGTAGTGCGTATTCTGACTTGCAAGTAAGTTATTTGCCAAACTGCCCCTTAATTCAAAATTTGGAAGCATATTTTTCCTTCTGCTATATTAACCTGATCAAACTTTAACTGAGCTGTTGCATGACAAGAATTCCTGAATCTGACAAACAGTGTTTTGAACAACTGGAACTGTGTAAATTCACACTTTGTAGTGTGCCCTAATGGCCTGTTCATAACTTTTCCTCTGAGTGGATTGACAAGTGTTACTTGGCAGACCACATCACTCTCCAACGGATGCCAGGGCTTTTTACAGATTTCTTCCTTTTCTGGTGTATATGAATGTTATGTATAAATTGCAGATAACTGGCAAAACTATGTCAGTTTCTTGTCACTTAGCTTACTGGTTGCTAAGAGGGTCAAGCTCCCACTAAACTTGTGAAATCATGCCAATTTGCATAGTTTAGAAGTAAGCATTTATATTCTTGTATGCATCATCTGAAATAGAGACCAAAACACAGCTACGGCAGTTTATTTTTCTAGAACTCTAAACTACTTTATGTCACTGCTGTGCTTCTGTGGAAGGCTGGTATTGTAGCACTTAGACTTCAATTTGATTGCTCCCAAGATGAGCAGTGAAGCTTTCTCAGGGCTAAAGGAAGCTTGCCCTGTGGCATTTCCCCCTGTGCCTGCTGACTGGGACTGCTCTGACAAAGCTTCTAAAATCAGAGAGCTGCAATTTGAACTGCACATATTTTGTGTAGGAAGAGGTTGGGAAGGGTTACAATAAAGCACTTGGAAAACTCTGACATGGGGAAAAATCAGGTTCTAAAGAATGGAAAAACCTGTAGCTGCTGTTGTGTGTTGAGCAGTGTTATTTGTCAAACACTATCAAATCTGGTGAGGGCTTACCTTTGTACCAGGTTATAGTGTTGCAAAAGCTTTCTCTGCTTCCAAGCAGGACTTCTAAGCTGTTTTGGTAACACTAGTTTGGCCTGCTAAGATGTTATGAACAAAATTCCTTGATCTAATGGCTTAGTTTAGAAAACACCAAAACTGAATAAGCTTTCAAGCATACGTGTTTAATGATTATTCAGTTGTCTTGTCAGGTTTATGCTCGTGGGTAGTCCTCTTAACCCTGAAGTCAGTCTCATGACTACAGAAGCATTTAGACAGGCTCTAGATACCTTTGGCTGATAGGAGATCTAACTTCTCATTATTTCCCTATAAAAAGTCAATCTTCCTATGAACCTGCAAACAAAGCATGACTTATTAGGTTAAGAGGAGAGTAACTTCTTTTGAATGTGTTCTTCATGCTTTGCTCCGAGACTGCCTTTACATACACTTGTGATGTTTCATTGTTCTTTGGCCCAAATGTAGCTCTTAAGAGGCTTAAGATCACTGTATTTATTTGATAATCTTCACCAGGGGTGATGTCTGCCAGTATCAACCATATTAGATTCTCTCACAAGAGTTAAACTGATATTGACCTCAACACTGAGACCCTATTTGTTGAAAACATTTACCTCTATCTATGTAAGAAACAAGCAGTAAAATGCTCCTGTGAGTCAGATCAGTGGTATCTAAGTATCTGGGGTGTGTATATTTGTAGAAGGCATTCTTGTCCAGATAGTCCGACTGAGGAATTTATAGTAGCAAGAGGTACACAAGATCAATATTAAGTCCAAGTACTTAAAATAGTCACACATCAAGGAAGTTTCAGATTGTACTCTAGGCATTACGTTGGTGCAGCTGGAAGGAGGTGCTGGTTACATGGGCTGAACTGGAGAATGCTGATATCAATCTGGGCCATAGGATACTGAGACCCAGATGTGGTGATCTCTGCACTTGTCTCATAATAGAGTTCTGATTAATATTGAGCAGTGCCTGTCTGCCTTGCTATTTCTATCCAGGCTGAGGGAACAGGCAGATTACAGGATTTCAAGTCATCCTCCTAAGTCTATGGCTTAATTCAGACCCACTGTGGAATTGTCTTCACGGAAGTGCACGTTTGCATCTCTAATGGCTGCACTATATTTACTTCCTTGGGTACACAGCCAGCTAAGTATCCACTTGGAATATACAGTGACTGCATAGACAAAGTAAATGTGTGGGAGTACAGTTTATTTGATGGCATAACTCTGTGAGATGATTTTGTTCTATGTAGTTTTATAGAAACAAGTGCTATTTCATCATCTGCATGACAGAATTTAACCTTAAAGCTAGCGCTGAGATGTCACTTTTTGTATTGCTGGGAATGTATTGTACGCAGATTAAAACAAAAGAAAAATAAAAGCTTAAGGCTGATGTAGCGAAGACAATAATGCTGAATTCTAGCAAGTTTAGCAACGTGAGAGATAAAAATAATGTAATCCATTCTCAGATGGATAATAGAATAAATAAATTCTTGGAGTTTCTAAATAGGCATTCATAGCTGCCACATAAGTAGTTTTCCTGGTGTGAAATCTAACTCATGGTTGCCTTCTTCCACCAGCCATCTCTTCCACAAGAACTGTATTGACCCCTGGCTTCTGGAACACAGGACATGCCCAATGTGCAAGTGTGACATACTCAAAGTTTTGGGTGTTGAGGTAAGCCAGTAGTCTGTCTTAGTGGCAGATGCTGTTACTAAGCTAGTGTAGTAACCACATATGAGCTACTTCATGCTGCTCAGGTGGTAAGCACAGGCATTGCCAGGTCAGTGGTGAGATGCTACAGGAATAACTGCTGTGGAGCTTGCAGCTGACTTGGTCTGAGTTGGTATCATCTTAATCCTTGGGGAGAATGTCAACCAAAATTGATTGTAACACATGACTGAAGAATCGCTCTTAACAAGTTGCAAGCCCAGGTGCTTGCAACTAAGGATGTTTCTAACACTGCCTGGACCAGCTAAATATATGCCAGGGTTTGCATGGGGGAGGGACACCTGCACTGAGTGGAAGGAAGAATCTGTTTTCCTGGAACTGGCTGAAGAATTCAGAAGCTTCATCTGAACTTCCTGCTCAATTAGGCAGTAACTATTTTTCAGCTATGATACTGGAGGTTAACAGCAGAGCTTTTTTCCAATTTTAATTACCTTTTTTCCCCTGGGTATAAGTCCACTAGGCTCCAGCCCTTGCAGGCGTTGGTCTCCTGGGAAGATGCAGCCTCTTAAAAAGTTATTTGTAAATAACTTATAAGTAAATTAAATGTTTTCTCCGTTCCACATAGGAGGCTGTAGAAGAGGTCGAGTCTGTGCAAGTCACAGTATCCAGTGAGGCATCAAATGTGTCTACAGCTAATGAAGATGATAATCGTAGTGAAACAGCGTCATCTGGATATGCTTCTGTACAAGGAACAGACGGATCTGTTCTGGAGGAACATGCACCATCAGAAAGTGCGTCTACAGCTTCATCTGTCTTGCTAGATTGTGTTGCACTTTGCTGCTTATGCCATGAATTAGAGGTGTTTGCCTTAACAGCTTGCAGTGCTTGAATACCTTGTTTTTCAGTGTAATCATAATCTTGTCTTTTGTTTTAGCATTTGGCTCTTTGTTTTCACACCACCTAAATGTGAACTGAAGCCTAAGTCTATGAAAAGAGTAGTTGAAAATCAGAGGCTTACTACTTAAAAGCCAAAGAGATTTTTCTGAAGATGTCCTTCATCTCATGGTCTCTTTGGAGATTTCACTCGGATGAGTGAGTGTTGCTTTGTCACCAAATCTGTCCACTTCAGTTCATTATGTACAGAAAACTTTTGGGGATTCAGTTCTGCTCTTGCAGATGATGCAAAATAAAGATGAAAAATACTTCAACTGAATTTCAGGTTTTGCCAAGGCTTGAACATCCTTGAACATTTTTAGAGAATTTTAATTGGAAAAGACTATCAGCTTTTCCACTTACCTTATATTTTTTAATAAGAGCAAGCCAATTGAAAATGTCTTTTTAGTGCTTAACTTTGCCAACACACGCTCAGTGTTGCTGTTGATTTTAAAAAAGGAAAGGTTCCAGGTAAACAAATGAAATAACTATACCCTGGATTGTGGAATAGCCTTGGAAGTGGAGTAAGGAATCTTTACAAGGTGAAGGGAATACTCTGGTTGTGTCTACTTAGATTTCCTGTGGGAACTCTAGCTGATAGGAAAGTATGGGATTTGCTTCCTGCCTCCTATGGGATATGTAGCTCCAGCAAGTGATGTGTGCATGGGAATGTCCCATTTAGGTACCCTGGTAGAGCAGAGGGCACTTCCTATAAGCTAAACATCAAAAGTTGAAATTGCATCCATATAAGCAACTTGAAGTGATGCTGGATTAGTTATATGGTTCAGGCCCTTGTGTATTCTCACAAGGCAAGGACACACATGTAACCTAGGACACACATCAGCGTAACGAGGTTAGTCTGTAGGAAGAAGGCCTTCCTCTCTGGATCACCCTATGTCTCACAGTTTATCCTGAAACTAGTGTTTAGAAGTTGCTCCTGATGCCTGTGTTCAGCAGCCCTAATGTTATATGAGAATTGCCTATCTCCTTACAGATGGATTTCCTAGCCTCACATGGCCTTCTGCCATTTGAGCACACAACCTAGGCTTGCTCAGCATTATTGAGAAGTGAAGAGCTGAGCAGATATCTCTAGAAATGACTGGTAATGTCAAGAACGGACTCACAAAGTAATGTGGGGTAGCAGAAGAGTAGTAGTTGAAGCATGGCCTTGGATTTCTCACTCTGCAGGAGAAGTGCTGGGAAAAGACCACCGCAGTGGGATTGTGGAAATAAAGCAAGCATGGTGTGCTTTAACGTGTAAAGCTTGCCTGTGTCACTTCTTAACTTGTCTTTTACTGGTTTTATTCTGGACAGATGACAACACGCATCTTGTGAACAACGAATCCCAGCCCCCTCCTGTGAATGCTCTTCCACATGCTGACAACCCAAGCTTTGAGGCAGAGGAAACACAAGTTCATGAAGTCAGGTCCTAAGAACATGTCCAGTGACCTGGTGTAAGCCTTCTGCAAGGAGCTGCCTATTGCCATTGCATGTATACTAAACATTGCAAGACTGTAGCAGGAAAAATATTGCCTTGGCAATGCTGAGATAAAATGGACTTGTTCAAATCATAATTGTATGGTTTGCCATTCTTAAAACTGTCTCCCATGTGGAATTTAGTTTTAGCAATCTTCAAATAAAGCTGTCTTAAATATAAAGAAAAACATCAGATTTTAACACTAAACCAAAAGTTCTATCTTCAGCAAAGCTTCTCTTCAGCGTTTGAGTTATTTAAATACAGAAAAACATTCTTTGTCATAGCTGTCTCTCCTGGGAGTTGTTTTGACTTGTTTGTTTGGTTTTTTGTTGTTAATTGTTTTAATTCAAGTGGATTTTCATTGTAAACAAATTAATTTTGATCAGTCTAATACTTATTTACCAGACATGGTTCAGTTAAAGCAACACTGTATTTAATATTTCAGTGCACTAATTTGATAGGAGAAAGTACAAACTAATGCCTGTCAAATGGGATTTTTCCCAGTGTCTTTGGTTCTCTAGTAAACCAATTGATTCTCTACCTCTAAACTCCAACCTGCCAACCACACATTCCTAAAGGGAAAAAAGAGAGCTGCAAGCTCTGACTTGCACAATACTGTAAATGGAACAATTGCATCAGTTTTTCGAACCTGCTAATATTAGCCTGAAAGCTCCTCCCTGGCTTTTGGAGTTACAGCTATCTCTAGCACCAGCAATACGCCGGAGTCCTGGCTTTGTCAGAGTCTGGGATAACTTCAGAAAGACTGAACTAAAAATGTAAAGAGAGATTCTTCCCAAAGGATCTGCTGTGTTTTGTTCAGAAAATGATCCAGCCTCTGAAAAATGCTGGACTGTTGCTCTGCATTGTCTTGCCTGCATGCTAAAGCTGCAGGGAGAGCTAACATACTGGAGAAGTGGTCTGTCATCTGTGGGGAGTTGAACTGGGTTCAAGGAGGAACACTGGGTGCCTCAATAGTAAGTGCAGGGCCTTGCTCAGTGAAGATAACTAAGGACATCTTGCAGATGCACTTTATTTTTTTTATCTCTGTATCCATGGCTTATTTCTAATGTTATCAGAACTTTGTCTTAAAGCCTGCAATGAAGTACTATTGAATCTGAAAGGAAAAAACAATGCATTTTCTTAGCTGTAGTACAATGAAAATTGTTGTAAATATTTCACGATTTGTATTGAATTTGAATATGAAAATGTAAATAAAACTATATTTTGATGACCCTAACTGACATTGAATGTTGATTATCAGTTCTTACCTGGCAACAGATGTTGAATTTTCTCTGCCCCACAATCCCAAAACTGAATGAGCTTTGGGAGGCCAAAAGGCAGCACTGCTTGCTTGAACTAATTGGAATAATTAGTAGTGCTAATTATGTGCAGGTGCTGCTGTTATATGGATTGAAATGGTATTGACAAGCTTAAGCCTAGTAGCTGTACTCAAAACCCAAGCAGCTTAGGATGTGTTCAGTGAGCTGCTTGATGTACCTCTGAACAGTTCTTCACAGCATGTTCAGCACAAGGTAGCCTTACACGAACTCTGCAATCAGACAGGTTGCAGCTCACTTCTCTGTCAGGTTGCTCAGTGTCCCTCCCTTACTCAAAAGTTTATGCTTGTATTTTAAGTTTTAAAAACAACTAAATGCCCTTTGTACTGAAATATACTATTAGATGTAGCAAAAACTTGTGATTCCCCTGGGCCAGTTTGGTAGTAGTTATCTTGTGCTTCTTTCTAGCTCAGTCCCAAGTCTAGTCTAGGAAACATTGGTTGGTTGTGGGCTCAAATTTTAAATCTTGATTATGAATCAGATTTCACCCTTCTTTGTGCATCTGAAGTGCAGAGCAGAGACAGGAACAGCCAAGCAGTAAAAGGCAACCCCTGAACACTTAATTTCATTCTCATTTCAAAATATTTTATAAATGTATTGCAGTGTGTAAGCTGTAATGTACTAGAATTTCATGCTGATACACTGAAAATGAAATCATCTGCCAGTCTTCTGTGTTTAATAGGAACAAGACTTGACTTTCAAAAAAAGGGGGAGTGCATATGTGTGATTCAGATAAATTCAATACATTGAAAGGCACTTTGGCTTTTTTTGTTTGTTTCATTCCAATTTTGGAAAGCAAACTTTTATGGGGAAAAAAAGCAACTTTTAGGTTGCTTTCTTTATAGGATTCATGCCTTTCTATTTACCATCTTTTAAGAGCAATAAATCTACCTTTTTTCCAGTAGTCATGTTTTGAAGGGTAAGGTGGCTACACAGCATTTTCTCAAAGAATGCACTAGTGGAGTACGGGGGAATGCAGTAGTTCATGTCAATGAACTCATAGTTCTGTAGGATCAGATGTGTACGTGTTCTGTCAAGATGTGGACTTTCCTGGAGTCCAATGCACTTACCCTGATCTTCAGGAAGATTTTAGGATTCTTGTATCAAATGTGAAGTACCGCTAAGAGAATAAATGCATCATTTGTACCTGAAGAGCATTTGAGCTACTGCTAGGCAGAAGAATGTAGTGCTTCTCTAGTTCTGCAGCTTTACATGTGAGTCTGCCATGTTCTTGTGTGTGCAGATTTATTTGTAAATATTGGCTCTGCAAGGGTTTTGTTTAAAAATGAAAGTGTGCAAATTTAATGCATGCAGTCTGTGATACTGAACTTGGGACTTGCTGTCTGACTTTGGGGAAAAACAGCCACTGTCTTATTTCACTGAACTCTGCTGAGGTTTTCACCTTTGAGAAAGTTGTGACAGTTTTACCTGCTTTAAAGAAATTTCAAAGCTCCACTCGCACTTTGTATTTTCAAGTTTCCACGGATAGCAGCTGTCTTCAGCTGACCCTGCTTAGAGCACTTTTTCCTCTAAGCAAGAGGCAAACAGAAATGTGCCTAGAGATTGGGTTGTTCCATGCAAGCTTGCTGTTATTGTGCAATAGTTTTGGGGTTTGCTATATATACACTGTAAGATACTGGAAATTAGGTGCCCACGAGTGATAACAGTTTCTCAAATTTGTGCCTTTTGGCTCTGTTAATACCCCCATTGAGTCACACAGATGTGTCAATTATTCTGCCCTGAAGAGAAAGCAGAACAGGCTTCATCATCATCTCTAAGTGTTTACTCATTGCTGTCACTTCTCTCTCCCCCAGGAAAGCTCTGATCTAGACACTTTACTCAAATGTTTGCATGTTCTCCAAGGGGGGGACAAGGAAAGAATTTTTTTAACCCTGCAGGAGGGGAAGCCTTGTCACCTGGTGCTGGATTGCTGCGCTTTCTTATCAACCAGGCTTTACAGCAGTGGGATTCTATTTAAAGCTCAAACCAAAATAATACCATTTTCTCACATTGGAAAAATATGAGAAAAATTTTCAGGTGTCCTTATAGAAATGTAGTTACAGCTGAGATTCTTGCTTAAGGGAAAAGCAGGACTTGTGATGAGAGGCTTGCAAACATATAAAAGCAGTTGGACTCTTCCCATAAAATGGAGAGACTTAGTCCGTCTCCATCTTTAGATGGAAAGAGCTGCACTTGACAAATGCCCTAACAGTTGGACAGAATAAATATACACATGTACCTTGGCTGTGTGATTTAACATAGTATCATTCTGTGTTTAACATACATTAGCTCAGAGGGTAGCCCTGCCTTTTCAGCCAGGTTTAGACTGATGTCTTTCCTGTCCAGATTTGGATAGAGTTCCACTCCCACAGGGGTGTAATGGCTGGTGTTTTGGAACAGATGAAAGAAAATCTCCTGGATTTGGCAGTTTAATTTTGACTCCCAGGGAAACTTGAAAACAAACTGCAGTGTTCACCTACTGTGAATTAACAGCTATGTAATTTTCTGCAGTGGTTTTCAGCTGTGGTTGTACAGAGGGAAGCCAAAATTTACTTATCTAGGTGTTTATTTATATAATCTTGGCTACAGTTACTTGCGGGATGTAATTTACCATTTCTAGGAGGTCTTTAATACAGTGAAAGAAAGATTCCACAGCACTAAATGGATGCTGTAGAATGTATTGATTAGACTGTAGGATTATTGTGCACTGATTAAGAAGGAGTTTAAGTGCCTATAAATAAATTCCTTCAAGCTGATAGCAGGGCACTCTTTGCATTTTAGAAGTATTTGGTTAAAAATGCAGGGCCTGAGGGAATTGGAAAAAAGATGTTCAAGACCTTGAACCAAGGGAGAAGAAAACAAACAAGACATTTTCCATGCAGTATCATTTTACTGTTAAATTTTATCCAATTAACAACGTTTAAATCTTTACATAAAAAAGCAACATGTGTCCTAACATGTCCAATATGTGTGAGATGCCAAAAGCCAAGCTCTGGGTTGGAAATGCCAAGGGCATCTCTCCTTACAATTAGCATCAGAATTCAAAGACCTGTGCTAGATCCTTAATATATATTTCCTGTATCCAAGGGCATGGCTAACTGGGGAAAATTAAATGGTAAACACTCTCTCTGGGAACATTCTTGTAAAAGCAGCACCCATGCAAGAATTGCTCTCAGTTCAGCTGGTAAATCTCCATGAACCTGCTGATGTCTGTTACTCTCAGTCACTTTAGGTGGAGGCGTGAAGGGAATGAAGACACTGCCCCATAAAGAGCAATGCATTACTATATCTATTTGTTGTTTGCTGTGTCTCATTAATGTTTTATCAGTGTTAGTTACTGTATGCTGGCTAATTATTCATTTTTCCTTTCTAGTAAGGTCAGTTTGCAAATAATCTGAAGACCTTATCACTGAGGACAAATGCCAACGGTCTCACACATAAATCATGAAAATAGTGAGACCACTAGTCAAGCTACTGTTAGAGTAACCAGCGTGTCTAACTCTGTATCAGCGCTGGACAGTCTTAGGTGATAGAAGCAATGAGGCAGATCATCTTTTTATGACGTGAAATGTAAATAGGCAACGTTGACCATGTGTCTGTTTCTGCAGCTGGCAGGACC